AAAAAAAAAAAGGAACCGGGTACTGGAACCGGACCGGTACCGGCGGTACCCGTCCCAAAAAATAGGTACCGGAACCGGTACCGAAATGGGCAGTACCGGTACCGGTTCCCGGAACCGGTGACACGGCGGCGACGGCGGTAACGGTGGCGGGTACCGGCGGTACCGTTGCCGGTCACGGTACCGTACCGGTACCGTGTCCACCCCTACTAGTAAGGTGCTAATGCCTGGTCTAACTCCAGTGGCGGATCCAGAAACTTTGACAGTAGAGGGCGCCAAACAAGGGTTTGGGGGGCGGCACCTCCAGATTTTTTTTTTAATTCAAACAATTCAAAAGATTAAAAATTAATGAATTTAACCTCAAAAAATTATCGAAATAGTGAATTAAAAAGTTTAAAGAATAAAATTTCTATATATGGATTGCATTATAACTTAGTTTAATTATTGTATATTTTTAGTGTTTCACTTTCAATTTTATTTTTGTGATTTTTAAAAATTTGACTTTAAGATTATACTCTTTTAATAATTAAATATTTAACTTTTTTCATTTTTTCTCACTTAACACTATCTATTGAAGTCTCTAATACTTTTAATTGGGGTCTCCAATATTTTTAATTGGGGTCATAAATAATATATCTCTAAAAACATTAAAAAATCAAACTAAAAAATTAGATATATATAAAAAGTAGTAGGGGGCATGTGACCCCAACACATACAAGGTGCATCCGCCCCTGTCTAAGGCTCCGTTCTGTTCAACTTATTTTTTCTGATCTGATCTGATTCTAATAAGTTTTGATCTGATCTGGTCTGATCTGATCTGATCTGATCTGATCTGATTGGATCTGATTTGATTGGATCTGATCTGATCTGATTGGATCTGATCTGATTGGATCTGATCTGATCTGATCTGGTCTGATCTGATTAATTATGATTTAATTTAAAATTTCAAATCAATAATTTAATTTGACTTTATAATAACGTTTGAAAAATGTAATGATAATTCATATTATAATATAATCAATATTTTTTATTTAATGATTCCTTTTTAATAAAATAAAAATAGTTAATTCATATATTAGAATAATCATTCATATTATAATGTAATAATATTTTTTATTTTATGATAATTTTTTTGTAAAATTAAAATTATACATTGGAATAAATATTTAATTTAGATATACATTTAAAAGTAATTAAATTTAGATAATCAATATATAGAAGAGATAGTATTTTTATTAAAATATCTCATCCTTATAAAAGATCAAAAGTTTAGAAACTCAAATTACAAGTAGCAATAAAAATATATTTTAAAAGTAGAATTAGATTGACATTGTCAATGTATTTTAAAACTAATTTTTCCGACGTCTAATAATTAAGGATTACTTTCTCAGCNATTAAGATATGACACACTTAATCAAATATCTAGAACCTAAAACTCACACTTAAGATAACCACTCTTAAGATATAGAATTAGGAATTTGGCTAAAATAGCATCACACTATTTTAATAATACTCAAAGAGTAAAAGATTTTCAATATTCAAAGGTTGTGTTACAATGGCCATAAGGCCTGAGTTATATAGGCAGGGGAAGGGGGAGATAATTCACAATACATTGAATGTAAACTTCAGGGAAGCTTCCTTGAAACAAACTCTTCCAAGGCATGGGGTATTGGCCACTCATTCCTGTCTCCTTAGTGGAATAAAATCAGGGATGGGGCTGGGGATTGTGGGGTTTTGGGTTTTAGGGTTGTAGTGGTTGTTTTCCTGTCTTTTGTGGGTATTATTTGGGTAAGAATGGAGGGTTGTTTTTGGTCATTAAAAGGGGACATGGCTGGGTATTATTTGTGGGTATTTTGGAGTTATGGCTTTGGGTTATTGTGAGGGAATCATGGGCAGGAAGTAGGGGCTGGAGGTGGGTCATGGTTTTGGCTCTTTGTGGGTGTTTATGTTGGGATTGTGAAGTGTATTTTGGCCAGGGGTGAATGGAATAAAGGGAGGGTTTTATTGGCTCAATAAAGGCTTTTAAAGAAGGAAAATAACAACAAACAAAAGGTTTTATTTTGCACACTCTTATTTTCGGTCCTGGGCTAAAATAAGAGTAGGAAGAACTTTATTTTGGATATCAAAAGGAAATAAAATACTTTTGGATATTTGGGGTTGAGTTGGACGGAAAGAGGATTGGCCAGCGGAACCCCGAGGTCAAAAACAAAAGTTATTTGGCCTTCCGGGTTAAAGGACTTTGAATTCTTACTAAAAGGGATCATAATGTTTGAACCTAAGTCCTTTGGTTCCCATGGGAGTGTGGGACATGGGGGGGGGGGGGGTAGGATAGGGCCGGGCCCAGATATATTATCCTCCCGGTCTTCAAAAGAGTTTGCCCTCAAACTCAACGGATAATCAAGACCGTCATATGGACTAAGGTCCCTTTTTTTGAATGTGGCAGCAACTCTCTGATCTCTTGCAAGGTCAACCATGTAGGAATTGTTGTTGACTCGGGCTAGCACTTCGAATGGGCCATCGTCTCGGAATTGAAGCTTTGCCTTGCGTTTTCCAGAGAAACGCTCTCTTTGCACATGGACCCACACTAGGTCTCCGGGCTGAAAGTAGATTGATTTTTTCAACTTCTTTCTCTTCATAAGCTTTTCACGAGTCTTATGATAAAACTCGGAAGTTTCTCCTTCACATGGAACCTGCAAAAACTTAACGAATTTGGCAGGAGATGCCATTAGTGAAGATAGCCTTTGAAGTGAGGCTTCCACATCTTGGCTCACAGATCCATGTTGAACCTTCTTCTCATTAATTTGCATATTTAAGCTAGGAAATCCACAGCTTAAAAACTCATCTCTGGTGGCAACAACATCCTTCTTCTCTAAATCGCCATTGGGTTTGTTTTCACCTAAACTTAGATGAACCCGTGGTTCTATCCCTTGGTTAGGTGTGGTCAGGGGTAGGAATAAGCATGCCGGCGAACCTTTTCTCAATGAATGCATATCCACAAAATTAGGTGTCCATGGCCTGTCAATATGAAATAAAGAAAAACTACGCAATTCCACTCGTAGTTCTCTTCCGTGGTTGAGCCATTCAATGGAACAGGATTTCAAGAGGGGTTTGATTCCAAGTTTATTTTGATCAGCCAAACTACTCAATGGTCTTGTAATGACCACAAGTTCACCTTTATCTTGGCCTAGAGATTTAACATCAGCCTGTCCTTCCTTTCGTCCCAAAAGCTCTGATTTCTCTTCACTTTGGACCAAGGACTTCTGATCTTTACTTGGACACTCAAAAGCATGATGACCAATCTTTCGTGAGTGGAAGCAATGGGGTTTCTTTGGAATAGATGGACAGATTTTTGGTGTGGGTATGACCATGGATTTTGGTGGAGGGCCTATGGTTTTAACAGGGTTCTGAACTGTGGGGATGGGAGAGGCTTTGAGGGTGTTTTGGGAGGGTAAAGGGATGGTTTCAGTTGGTTTTTCAAGTGGGGGTGTAGGGGTAGGTGTGGGAATGGTTAGGGCCGTTTGAGGGGGAATTATAGGCATGGTTATATGCAAGTTTGGAGGCAGGGGTGTGAAGAGGGTTTTGGGGCTTGTTTGGACAGTGGCCAGGGATGAAATATAAATGGGTTTTGAGGTATTTTGGGGCAGGGTTGTGGTAAGGGGTGTTGGGTTAGTTTGGGCAGTGGCTAGGAAAGGTAAAGAGGTTTGAGTAGGAATTTTGGGTAGGTGTGAGGGAGTTGGGTGAGAGATGCTTTGGACAGCATGGATGCAAGGTAAAGAGGGAACTTTAGAGGGAGTTTGAGTGTTGAAGATGGTGGGGGCTTCGGGAATGATTTGGGTTGCATGAGAGTTCTGTGAGGACCGGGATTTAGAGGAGGTTAAGGTTGTGGGAGAGAGGGCAATATGGAACGGATTTTGTTGTGGAGAAGGTGGGATGAGTGTAGAAAGAGTATGGGGTGAAAAAGGGAGAGTATGTTCAAGTACCTGGTGGAGATGATCTTTGGAAGAAAATCTCTCAATTAAGAGTTTTCTTAACTTTTCCCAAGTTCTCACCTTCGCTTTTCCTTGGAGCTTTCGTTTTGAAGCAACGCTAGCCCACCAAGTAGAGGCATGTCTTTGAAACTTAGTCACCACTAGCTTGACCTTCTTGTCTTCGGGCACGTCTTTGAGTGTAAAGACGTCTTCAACTTTTGCTAACCACTTTGAGAACTTCTCCTGGTCATTTCTTCCTTCAAACGTGGGAATCTCCACTGAATTAGTGAGCTCCTTGACTTGTTTCATCATAAGCTCAACTTCCTTCTTTAACTTTTCTTGGGCAGCAACTACATCATAATGAGACATATCTCGGATGATGTGAGAAATGTTTCAAAAGAGAAAATGTAGGAGATGGTGTTTTGGCCCCTTGAGGGATGTGGAACAACAAGCTCTGATACCAAATGTTATATCTCAGCTCCGAGTGTAACGGTATTAAGCTCGGATTTAAGGAACAAGCTCCTTCTTTTGCTGGATGGGTTAATAGTCGATTATCAGTATGGTGATAATCGATTATATAGGACTGCAGGAGTTTCCCTTGATGTATGATAATCGATTGTCCAAGTAGGATAATCGATTGTCAAGTGATTCAGTTTCTCAGGAGGAGCTTCAGAAGTTTATGAGAAATAAACAATCGATTTACAAGAAGTGATAATCGATTATGGAAGGCTGCAGATTTTCTGGGAATGAGTGATAGTCGATTATCTTAAATGGATAATCGATTATTACTACCTGCAGATGTTTCTAATGGAACTGATAATCGATTGTGGGGAGTGATAATCGATTGTTTGGCAGTGATTCTGGACAGGAATAAAGGCGTTTTTACGGGGAATGGGTTGGAAATATATGGGGCTGATGGGGAGTTCTTTTGGGTATTTTT